GACAGGGTTGGACATAGGTTGCCCACACCACCAGAATATGTGACTCTAACCCCCTAGTAGCTTGAGTCCAGGGAGTTAGGCTGTAGCTGTGATTATACTCTTCCTGGGCAGGGAATAGCCTTGACATGACTCTAAGGAAAAATGTGTGTTCTGGAGGTTTGAGCCTAGGGTACACAGTATGGTAATAATTTGGGAGGTTGAGCCAACAGGGCTCAGTAGCAACTTGGGTCCCTGGGGATGAGGCACCATGTAGTGGTGACACTAGACTCTAAGATGGTAGGATTCAGCAGTATCCCAGCCCTCTGTGAGGCCAAGTGCAGCAGCAGCATCAAGTACCCCAGAATGGCTGTTGTATGGGTCCTGGGGAGTAAGAAGCAGCACAATGTGACTCCATTCCTTAGGATGGCACTATCTCATCAGCTTAGACTCTAGAGAGTTAGTCCAGCTCCAGGGAAGCAGGGTATTACAATTGTTTGGCCTGTAGGGCCCATGGGATATCTCTGCTCAGACAGTACTCTGTTTTCCTGGGATGAAGGGCATTATGTTAACTCAGCCACAGAATGCGCAGTTGCTCAGCTCAGCCAAGACATTGATTCTCCAAGGGTTGATGTGCCACTCTACTTAGGCCTTGGGTACCTGACTGTTCTTAACAGCCCAGACACCATTTCCCTGCCACACAGGGCTCTGACAAAGTACTTTTTCTTTGAGAGGGCAATGCACACTTTCAACTCAGGACCCCAGGGGCATAGCACAGTCAAGTCTGAAAGAGGTAGATGGAGCTGTTCTACCAAAGCACCATATCCCCACAAGGGGTGCACAACTCCATATGTAGCCCAAGGGTAGGTGAAACAGTTCTATCTGCTGCTTGGATCCACAGGGAAAGATGTAACAGTTGCTTGGTCTGGGAATGTTAGGCCACTCTGTTGGGGTGGTTCCCCAGTAGTTTAGCCATAAGCAATGAAGGGGTTTTGTGGCTACTCACCTCTGGAGTAAGGCACTCCGGCATTTGCTCCAGTTCCAAAATGGCATAGCACAGTAGCCATGTAGGCCATGGTGCAGGCACAGCTGGCTCCTTCTCTGAGGGGAGCACAGTCGTATGCCTCTAGGTATATGCCTCTAGGTAGCTACCCCAGCTGGACTTAGGGCCTATGAGGACTGCAGGGGACCCCAGTATGTCCAAGGTGTTGCTGAGGGCTGCTGAGAACGTCTTATCTACATTTTCACCACAGGGAGAAGTTCCTCCTGGTTCCTGGCTGATCTCAGCTGGGGGATGGGGTGGTAGAGTCCTGGTGTTTCCTTTCATTCTCTATGTGGCTGTCCTGAGTTTCTGTCCCCAGCAGGATTTCTCTTACTCCTCTAATGTATTCTGGTGCTGTCCTTTATTATTTTCATTAAAATATGGTTTTTTATTTGTTATTTTGGCTGTCTTTTTGAAAGGGATGAGTGCTAGTGTTTTCTAGTTGAACATCTTGCTGTCATTTCTCCTTTGAGTGGGTTTTGTCATCCTTCTTCTCTCATTAATGGGCTAATAAAACTTGTATTCATGCTGACTATGTATCTGCATGAGAATTATATTTTTATAATTTCGATAATTAATACTTTCACAAAAGGATATAAGAATGTTCCACGGAAGTGTTGGTTGGGCTGGAGAAACAGGAATTCAGTTTAGTTACCAGTATCAACTTCCAGAATGCTTGTATCTATTCTTATTTTGTTATCAATAGGATTAACAACATGATTTTCACAATAATCTCAAGACTAATAAATATATTAATAAATAGTGACCAATTCACCACCATGATCAATCAATAATCATACCCAACCAATAATCATCAGAATAATCTTTTCAATCAATTTCTTCACTATGAAAAAAGTACCCAAACCTCCAAATATTTTAAATCACATGATAACACCATTTCAACTACCTTCTAACCATATAGCATGAAAGCAAAGAAAGCTCCATGATCAAACCTAAAGTCCCCCAGATAACCATATTTGAACCCCAGGTTTCAGGATGCTCTTCAGTAGCCATTGTAATAGGAGAACTAAGCGCTACAAGCAAAGCACTTATACACCCTAAACATGCTAAAATAGAGCTATTAATCCCAAAAAATATTCACCAAAATTTGTTACAATAACAGATCCAACCCTATCACTTACAACTAATGCAAGACATTCATAACAGGAGACACATTCAAAGAAATGTTTGAAAACCAAAAATAAGGCCAGGTGCAGTGGCTCATATCTGTAATCCCAGCACTTTGGGAGGCTGAGGCAGATGGATAACCTGAGGTCAGGAGTTCAAGACCAGCGCAGTAAACATGGTAAAACCCTGTCTTTATTAAAAATACAAAGAATTAGCCAGGCATGGTGATGGGTGCCTGTAGTCCCAGCTACTTAGGAGGCAGCAGGAGGAGAATCGCTTGAACTCAGGAGGCGGAGGCTGCAATGAGCCAAGATTGCACCACTGCACTTCAGCTTGGGTGGCAGAGTGAAACTCCATCTCAAAAAAATAAAATAAAATAAAATGAAAACCCAAAGTAAGGATGCTATTTTCTAAATTATTAAGTATTAAATGTTTTTGAATTTACTTAGAATTATGAAAAAATTAAATTCATGGTTCCCACATGGTAGCTAACCATGACCGCTGACATGAGAAACAACTGTTGTTGTCTTTCAACAATAACGACCACTAAGTTCCAATAAAGACCACCAAGAAAAATCATCCATTAATTAAAATTCATCAACCCTACTGTTCCATCAAATATCTCAGGCTGATGAAACTTTGGCTCAATTTTAGGAGTAAATTTAACTCTATAAATCCTAATAAGACTTTTATGAGCCATATATTATATATCAGATAAAATAATAGCCTTTTCATCTAGAACACACCTTTGCCAAAATATTAACTATGGCTAATTCAATATATACCTCCTAATGGAGCACCTCTAGTTTTTATGTGTCTATGAATAATGAGACATATTGCAGAAGCTACATATACTCAGAAACCTAGAATATCAGAGTAGTTACATTATTTTCATATAAGGAAATAGCATTTATAGGCTATGTATTCCTATAAGGACAAATATTCTGAGCAACTACAGCAATAACAAATACACTTTCAGCTGTTTCTTATATTAATACTAATTAATACAGTGAATCTGAAGTGGACTCTCAGTAGATGATACAGTCTGGATGTGCATTCCCTCCTAATCTTATGTTGAAATGTGATCTCCAGTGTTGGAAGTAAGGCCTAGTGAGAGGTATTTGGGTCATGGGGTCAGATCCCTTATGAATGATTTGGTGCCCTCCACTCAGTAATGAGTTAATTCTCATTCTATTAGTTCATGCAAAAGCTGTTTGTTTAAAGGAGCCTGGTACCTCCTTCTCTCTTTCTTGCTCCCTCTCTTGCCATGTGACATGCCTGCTCCCCCTTCACCTTCTGCCATAAATAAAAGCTTCCTCACCAGAAGCTGAGCAGATGCTAGTATCATGCTTGTAGAGCTTGTAGAACCATGAGCCAAACAAACCTCTTTTCTTTATAAATTACCCAGTCTCAGGTATTCCTTTATAGCAACACAAAATGGACTAACACAGTAGATAAGTCCATTGGTACATAATTCTTCACTTTTCCCTATTTTACATGAAACATGATCAAACAGCCCTATGGATTAATATCAAATATAAACAAAATTCCATTCCATTAGTACACAATCAAAAACCCTTTAATATTTGTTTTTCTAATTACACTACTACTTAGCTGACTCTCATACCATGCTATCTCTTGCTGTCACATATGCTAGCAATATGGATGCTTGCTATATATCTTGTTGAGATGTTTATTTTCAAAATCAAAGTCTCAATGAGTATATCTGTTTGGAAAGAACCTAGGTCACATGAATTCCTGGCCATAAAATAAGCTGGAAAACATAGGTTGTTTTGTTTTCTTTAATCTACCTTGTAAAAGCAGGCTTGAACTTCATCAAATGCAATTCTGACTTTTACCCATTTAAAAACACTCAGGAATTATTCTAAACTCTTTGTAATTTAAGCAGTGCCATAATTTCCCAACAATATGTTTTCCAGATTGTTCGCCCAATCTATCCCATCTACTTTCTCTCCCTTCCTTCCTCTCTCCTTTCCTCCATCCTTCCTTCCCTCTCCTTCTTACACACACACACACACACACACACACACACACACATGCCCTCTCGCTCCAGGATAATCTCTGAAACACATCATCATTATTGCCCTTGGTTCCCCTTAGTAATGATCTTCCCTCACCTCAAACAGTAGCTGCTCATAAAGTATTCCCCAACTTCCTCAAGAGAAACCATTCATTCTTACCTCAAACTTACACTGCACTCAGCATAGCACATGCTTTATATTGTACCACATCCATTATTAGTCTATGCATCTTCCAGAATCTCCCATTCACATTCTCAGACTGAGTTAGAAGACAAGCTTTTGTGCTCCCGAAGCAACCTGAAATTAACTCTAGTTTTGCACTTATCACAATGTATTGTAACTGTCTGTTTCTTATAATAGCCTGTGAACTCCATTAAGGCTGGATATATGCTCATTCACCATTATATTCCATGTGCATAGCACCAGTAGGTGCTCAATAAATATTTGTTGAATGGCAAGAAGAAAAAATAAAAAATATGTGTCTTAGTCTGCCTCACACAGGAAAATGTTATGTGCATGTTAGGCACACTGTAAAAGCTTATGAAATATTTGGGTATAAATAAATTATAAGACAAGGGTAAGTTTACAAGTTTGTCTTCAGACTTTCTGGTGAATGTAGAAAGCAACAATTAGAATCACTCCATTGGTGAAGAAGCCCTCCTGCCAATACTATAGTCCTGCTACCAAACTGGGGTGAAATCATGTGTTACTTGCCTGTCTTCATCAGTGGCCTTTATCTTCAGGAGCAGCACATGATCTCTTACAAAAAATGAATTCGCAGGTTTGTGGAATTTGGGATGATGGCGTCTTACCTCTGGTTTTACAAACCATTGGCCTGCATTCAGTGTTGACAGGAAATCCCAACTGAAGAAGGCAGGGTTCTGGAAGGCAGATTCTGGCTGAACTTCCCTGATATTGGTTGTTCTTCTCAAGTCAAAGTCATGCATGAGGAAAGGCACATGATCATAACTGAGGCAGAGGTAGAAAAGAGGGGCAGGGGTAGACAGGCTGAACTTAGCTGCCTTGGTAGACAGGCTCCCCAGAAAGTCCTTCAAGGTCATAAGTGTCACTAGGGCTCCTAACTCCCCCTCAAATCCTACAAAAGGGCTAAGTATCAGTCATTTACACTTTATTGTCAATATTTTTCAGCTCTAGGGATTGATCAGTCTTTCATGATATATAATCACATTAGTGATGGTGAAAGAATAGTTTCTCTATTCAGGGGCTTTCTGGCATCAGAAAAATAGCAGGTACACTAGTGGCCTAAAAGTAAGGTGAATGGAGGTAGGGATGAGGCAAGGTCCTCAGGTTCCAGGACCATACTAAGCAGGCAATATAGGCTTGGGGAACCTAAAAGGGAGCTAGCTGTCTTGCTGAAATGAGAAGAAAGAGATTAGAGTAAGCAGGGAGCCAAGACAGATAGAATTTGTGGGCTAGAGTCCCATAAAGAATAGAGTTATGCAAAAACAAAGACACAGTTCCAAGAAAATATGCAAAAGTCCATAAGTGCATGGCCAAATATCAATCTGTATGTGTACAGAGTAAAACTATGAAGGCTTGGCAGGAACAACTTCTAAAAAAAGAAAAATTACCAGAAAGTTCTAAGACAATCAGAGCTTGCACAGGGGTATGAATCATTCAAGTTCCATCCAACAAGAGAGGAGAGTCCTCAATGATTACATAGGCATTCTTTAGAGACTTCAAAAGATCATGCCTTAGAAAAGGGGATAATTTAGAACTACAAGGGCTTTACAGTCACTTTAGATCCTCTTAAAAAAAGAGCTTAAAAACAAGCCTCCAAAGAAAAGGACAAACTAGCCTGGAAGTAACAACTATCTGCAAGAAAATGACCAACATTCTTTAAAGGATACAAGATATAGTACCCAACAACCTAAAACTAGAAGTCCAGCATATCATGAAAACTTACTGGAGATGTAAACAGGAAAATGTGACCATATGCAAGAGAAATTACTCAACGGGGACAAACTCAAAAAGTAAAAGAGATGACAGGATTCATAGACAAGACTGTTAAACAATGTAGAACAAAACTATAAAGAGGTAAACAAAGTATGTAAAGGAAAACATGAACATAATAAAGATATACATACAAGATATAAAAAATGGAAATTTAGAGATAAAATATAACAATTGAAATGAAAATTTCACTGCATGAAATTTAAAACAGATCACGTATTGCAGGTCATATAAAGAAAATGAATTTGAAGATGTAGTATTAGAATCTAACCAAATGAAAGCATAGAAAGAAAACTGAAACAAAAAAGAATAGTGATCTGTAAGGCAATGATCAAACAGTATTATATATGTGTAAATGGAGTCCTAATAAAGAAGGGAGGTGCAGAGAAAAACATTTCAAAAGCAAAATTGAAAATTTTTTCAAAATTTGATGAAGATTTCAACTGAATCCTGAATTCTTTCCTGGCTAAAAGTGTCCAAACTAATGTTGTCACATTTTCTTTCAATTTTTCTGACTTAGACTCAATGAAATTACTACTATCTTTTTCCTGAGGACCTGCAAGCATATCATGTGATATATAAACTATAGGAAAGAAAAATCTGTCAAGAGACTGGGTGAGGTGGCTCATGCCTGTAATCCCAGCACTTGGGAGGCCAAGGCAGGCAGATCACCTGAGGTCAGGAGTTCAAGATGAGGCTGACCAACACATAGAAAGCCCATCTCTACTAAAAATACAAAATTAGCCAGGCGTGGTGATGCATGCCTGTAATCTTAGCTACTCAGGAGGATGAGGCAGGAGACTTGCTTGAACTGGGAGGCAGAGGTTACAGTGAGCCAAGATAGCGGCATTGCACTCCAGCCTGGGCAACAGAGTGAAACTCTACCTTAAAAAAAAAAAAGAAAAGAAAAATCTATCAGATTGTCACTGCCTGCTTCCATGTTAACTGAAGATGCTTTAAGTCTAACATCTGTTTTTTTTCTTTTTTAAACAGAATCTTACTCTGTCGCCCAGGCTGGAGTGCAGTGGTGCCATCTCTGCTCACTGTGACCTCTGCCTCCTGGGTTCAAGCGATTCTCCTGCCTCAGCCTCCCCAGTAGCTGGGACTACAGGCGCTTACCACTAAGCTTAATTTCTGTATTTTCAGTAGAGAAGGGGTTTCACCATGTTGGCCAGGCTGGCCTCGAACTCCTGACCTTAGGTGATCTGCCCACCTCAGCCTCCCAAAGTGTTGGGATTACAGGCTTGGGCCACTGTGCCCGGCCAAATCTAGCATCTAGACACCTCAACTGACTACCCTACAGACTCTAATAAAACTGGTTTATCAATTTCTCCAAACATTAATATTTGTTTTTCTTCGATTTGAAAGCTCATTTGCAATACTATCTCCTTAAATGAGACATAGCTGTTTAATGGGACTGGCCTATTCCCAGAAGTAAGAAACTGGTTTACGGGGATCCTTTGCCACTCAGCTATTAACTCACTTTTCCCACTAACTCAGCTTTTAGTGTATGAAACCTCTAGGGAAGCTTCAGATGAGGATGTTAGGGCTCAGAAACCTACACCCAAAATGTGGTATGCTGATATGCTGGAATGACGAAGGCTGCTAGGCATAACAGTTTAAGCTCTTTGGCCCAGGCAGTTCTAAATAATTAAATTGTATTAGATTTCCTTTTGGCAAAACAAGTGGGTTATCTGTGCAATAGCTAATACCACTGTTGTGAATAGAAAAAATTTCCAAACAAGCTACATGGTTATGAGAGGTGTGTACCACAGATTCTTAGATGATGTCTTTAGCTGGCTTACTAAGGGAATGGGAAACTGGTTTTAGTCACCCTTACAAACTCTTATCATCATTATCATCTTGCTCTTCTTTCTATTCCCAACAGACAACAAGGACTAGTAACAAAAGCACTTTTTTTGTTGTGCAGAATCAGAAGCCTGTACCTGGCACTCAAGAACATTTACAGGCTACTACAAAGCACTTTCAATCCTCAAATCCTAGTTATGGCCCCCCTGATCTTTGTCAGCAGGAAGCAGCCAAAGCAGTCATGGCTCAGTTCCTCCTTAATGATCACACTTCAGGACTGAGGGATAAACAAGGTAAGCGGGTACGGAAGTCAAGTCATCCTCACAGGGTTAACAAGAATTCTGGGCAGAAATATAGCTATAATTATGTATTAATCAGGCTGCACTTTGAACCACTTCCTTGTATAGGAAAGTCACTTGACATTGACCGTTTGCATCCCCACTGTTTCTATAGATAGGATTTCTGAAATCAGAATCACAGGTTTCTCTTTAAGAATTGCTTAAGATGTTTTTCAGATCCCATATTCCAGCTGATGTGGGCCAGTCTGAAGACCCCCACAGAGGAACAGAATCAGCATGAGAATACCGTTTCTTCATCGCTCTGTCCCTTGACTTCACGCTGCACTCTTTGACCAATCACCAATCTCTATACTTCAGCCCACTCCAAAACCATTAAAAACTCTAGCCCCAAACTCCTCAGGGAGATGGATTTGAAGTTTCCTCATATTTCCTCATTTGGTGACCCTATCATGAAACCTCTTTCTCTGCTGCAAAAAGAAAAAAAAAAAAGTAGCTGGGGCCAGGGGTGGGCATATGTAGAGGGGAATACAGATAAGCATCCAGAAGATTTCTCATCAAAACATAAGACAGAAAACTATGAAATAACATATTTTTACATGCTTGAAGAAAACAACTGTCACTTAGAATTCTATATGCAGCAAAAATATTCTTCAAAAATGAAGGGAAAATTAAAATATTTCATATAAACAAAAAGAATAATTCATTTCAGCATACCTTTACTGTAAAGAAAAAATATTTAAATAATTATTTGGCAAAAAGGAAACTGATACAATTTGAAACTTGGATCTACACAAAAGAATAAATAGTGCCAGTAAATATAAAAACTTTTTCTCATTTTTAAAGAACAGAATGAACTGTTTAAAGCAAAAATTAATAGCAATGTATAATGAGGTTCATGATCACACCAGGTCATACTATGGGAGAGGTGAAATGTTAGTGTTAAAAGACATATGCTTTACATAAAAATGTGTAACACTCAAAGGGATAAATAAGTTAAAGATCATATTGTAAACTCTAGCTCAACCACTGAAAACAAAGAGAAAGGGATAGCTAATAATCCATTAGTAGAGATAAAGTTATAAAAAAATGCTTCATTAGTCCAAAAGAAGGTAGGAAAGGAGAAAACAAATAACAAAATGATAGTGCACTTGCCATGGGCCTAAAATTTAAAGGGGTGCCAAAAACTAATAAGCAATATAAATACTATTTTAATGCAATATTTTAAAAAAATCAAAACCAATGCAAAATCCACTATAAACAAAATATTAAATTTTAAATGAAGATAAGATAGTATACTAATTTTTCCTTTTGCCTCAGGTTCTTATATGGCTTGGCATGGCACATCTTCATTGAAATTTTTGACATTTTGTTCATCATGGATGCTAAAGGTAGGCAATACCAAGAGAAATTAGTTATCACACACATGCTTGTTAGGTGTGGCATTTACATTTATTTCCCTTAAAAAGTTAGGCGGACACTGAGTTAGCAGAGAGGGAAGAGGAGCAATAAGCACACACAAGCTTATTGGGCTCTTTCAATCTCTCTCCAACTCAGCCTCCATGGACTTCCAGTGACTGTTGGCAAGATTTCTCCTATTGGCCCACACAAGGAAGTCAACATTTCTTCAGGATCTGTGTGTTTCAGCAATCCCCAGAAAACTCAGTTCAGTGTTCTCCAGAGAGGTATATGGCTGACTGGGCTTTTATACTAAAAAGTTTATTAGAGGACTGGGAATAACAACAGCCAAAAGTTTTGCACAGATCTCAGAACCTCCCATAGGCTTTCTCTCAGATGCAAACAACTTGTTTACATTACTTGCTTTTGAGGTTTAAAAAATACCTCCACCTTTTCAAATGTTTCTCAAAAATAATATGTTCAAATGAAGGTTTCATATAAACCTGTTTCACATTTAAGAACAACATGGCTGCAATTTATCAAATGGGATGAGCACTATCAAATTCACTCTGGGGTGAACTTGGGGTAGGGATCAGACATCCTATACAACTATTTTATCACAAATCTCAAAAATCCCAACATTTTAAAGGCAAGAAGGGAAGGAGGAGCCAGCAAAAGAAGTCACATAGGAAACAGTCAAGTAGGAAGAAAATCAGGAGAGTATGGTATTCTAATAGCCAAATGAAAACAGTGTTTCAAAAATGAAGGACTACTCAAATGCTGAGAGGTTAAGATGAAAACTGAAAATTTACTATGATGTTTAGGCAGTTTGAGGTCCCTGATAACTTAGTAAGAGCTCTGAGAAGTGATATGGAAGAAGCCTGATTGGGATAGGCTCAAAAATTATTGAAAGTTATCTAAAACAAGCAGGAGAATTGAGAGAAGACAAAGAAAGGCAATGTTGGGGCCCAGGACACTCACCCTAAAATATGACTGCAGGAGATCAGAATATGCCACCCCAATATATACCTCTTAGGTATGTTCATTATTTTGAGCTGGTTATTTTGAGAAACTGCAGACACAAGAGAAGCACTGAAAAGTTGCCCTTTTGTAAAGGAAATTTATATTTATAAAGGCAATTTTCATTAGTAAAAGTATCTGTACCGAGAAGAGAGCTGCCCTGAAACCATTTTATTACTAAGAGACTTACATCTGTATAATAAGGCAACCTCTATTCACCATACATTTTCTTCCCTCATGTGCCCACAATTTGTCACTGCTCCCCCAAGTCCCTATTCCTTTCTGTGGCTCAGAAAACTATACAGCCTTCACTCATCTGGCCTTTTCCTTGAGTCTCAAGTTTTTGGGAGATTCCCATGTGTACATATATAATTAAAATTATTTTTCTCCTGTTAATCTGTCTTATGTCAATTTACTTTGTAGACCAACCAAAGAACCTAGAAGAGCAGAGGCTAACAAGAGGTGCTGATCCTCTATAGCAGTATGAACCACTCTTTGGAGGAATGTTGCTTAAAAGAAAGTGAAGACATGCGGCATAAACTGGAGCAGAATACAGGGTCTAGAAAAGTTTTAAAATGTCAGAATGGAACATCTTCTGAGTTTAGAATCACTTTATCTATATTTTTTTTTTAAAAAAGCTAATGGGATTCTTTTCTTTAAATTCTATTTTGTGAGGACTGTAGATTCACATAGGTTTGTAAGAAATAATACAGAGGCCAGGCACAGTAGCTCACACCTGTAATCCGAGCACTTTGGGAGGCTGAGGCGGGTGGATCACCTGAGGTCAGGAGTTCAAGACCAACACATGAAACACCCCCAACCCATCTTTACTCAAAAAAAAAAAAAAAAAAAAAAAAACTAGCTGGGCGTGATGGTGGGCGCCTGTAATCCCAGCTACTTGGGAGGCTGAGGCAAGAGAAATGCTTGAATCCAGGAGGTGGAGGTTGCAGTGAGCTGAGATCGTGCCATTGCACTCCAGTCTGGGCAACAAGAGAGAAAGGAAAAAAGAAAAGAAGGAAGAAAGGAAAGAAGGAAGGAAGGAAGGAAAGAAACCAAGGAAAGAGAAAAAGAGAGAGAAACAAAGAGAAAGAGAAAAGAGAGGAAGGAAGGAAGGAAGGAAGGAAGGAAGGAAGGAAGGAAGGAAGGAAGGAAGGAAGGAAGGAAGGAAGGAAGAGAGGGAGGGAAAGAGGGAGGGAGGGAGGAAGAAAAAGGAATAATATAGAGAAATTCTATATAACCTTGGCCCAGTTTCTCCCAATAGTAACATCTTGCATGACTATACTATACTATCACAACAAGGAAATTGACATTGGTAAAATCAATGACCTCATTCAGATTGTATTCATTTTACATGAAATTATTTGTGTATTTAGTTATGTGTTAATTATCACATGTGCAGACACATCACCACCACCACAGTCAAGATACAGAACAGTAAACATACAAAAAGAGTTTTGTGTTACCTTTTAAAGTGGGAGCCACCTCTCTCCCTCGTTCACCCTGGAAACCCTTGATTTTTTTTCCATAACTCTAATGTTGTCATTTGAATGTGATATTCAAATGGAATCATACAGTATATAACCTTTTGAGACTGGCTTTATTCACTCAGCATAATTCCCATGAGGTTCATCCAAATAGCAACATCTTTCAATAGTTCATTCCTTTTTATTGCTGGGTAATATTCCACAGTATGGATGAATACAGTTTATTTTAATCATTAAACCTCTTAAAGGAGATTTGGGTTGTTTCTAGTTTGAGCTGTTACAAATAAAACAGCTATGAAAACTAATGTGAAGTTTTTTTCTAAATGAACATTAAGTCTTCCTTTCTCTGGAATAAATGCCCAGGAGTGCAATTTCTGGGGCATATGGTAAGGATATATAGTCATGTGCCATATAACAACATTTCAGTCAACAATGGACCCCATATATGACAATGGACCCCATAAGATTATAATGGAGCTGACAATTTCCTATCACCTAGTGACTTCATAGCCATCATAATACTGTAGCACAATGCATTACTTGTGTGTTTATGCTGCTACTGGTGTAAACAAACCTGTACAGCCAATCACATACAAAAACAAATCTGTAGCACATACAACTACAGACAGTGCATAATACCTGATGATGACAATAAACAGTTGTTGCTGGTTTATATGTTTACTACACTACACTTTTTATTGTTCTTTTAGAGTTTACACATTCTATTATATATTAAAAAATTAAGTGCAAAACAGTCACAGGTAGTCCTTCAGGAGGTATTCTAGAAGAAGGCATTGTTATCATAGGAGATGACAGCTCCATGCATGTTATTGTCCCTGAAGACACTCCAGTGGGACAAGATGTGAAGGTGGAAGACAGTGATATTAATGATCCTGACTGTGTGTAAGCCTAGGCTAATGTGCATACTTGTGTCTAGTTTCTAACAAAAAAGTTTAAAAAGTAAAAAAAAAAAATTAAGATAGAAAATAGCTTATAGAATAAGGATATAAAGAAAGAAAATATTTTGGTACAGCTGTACAATGTATTTATGCTTACACTGTTATACAAAAGAGTCAAAAAGTTACAATAAGCTGGGGTTAATTTATTGTTGAAAAAAATTTTTTAACGAATTTAGTGCAGTTTAAGTGTACGGTGTTTACAAAGTCTTCAGTAGCATACATAATGTCCTAGGCCTTCACATTCACTCACCAGTCACTCACTGACTCACCCAGAGCAACTTCCAGTCCTGCAGGCTCCATTCATGGTAAGTGCCCTATACAGGTGTACCATGTTTTATCTTTTATATTGTTATTTTCATTGTACTTTTTCTATGTTTGGATATGTTTAGATACACAAATACCTACCATTGTTCTATAATTGTCTACAGTATTCAGTACAGTAACATGCTGTACAGGTTTGCAGCCTAAGAGAAACAGGTCATACCCTATAGCCTAGGTGCGCAGTAGGCTATGCCATCTAGGTTTGTGTAAGTTCATTCTACGATGTTCACACAATGATGAAATTGCCTCACAAGGCATTTCTCAGAACGTATCCTCATCATTAAGTGAGACATGACTGTATTTAGTTTTGTAAGTAACTGCCAAACTTAATTGGAGTAGCTATACAATTTTATGTTTCCACCGGCAGCATATGAGTGATTCAGTTTGTCTGCCAGCATTTAGTGTTCTTGCTGTTTTTGTAATTTAGCCATTTCGATAGGTGAGTAGTATCAGTTTTAATTTGCAGTGTCTTAAAGGCGAATGCAGTTGCACATCTTCTCATGTACTTGTTATCTGTATATTCTCTTCAGTGAAGTATCTACACATGTATTTTGCCCATTTTCTAACTGTTCTGTCTGGTTTGTTTTTGTTTTCATTTTACTGTTAAGCTTTGTAGGTTTATATATCCTAGACACAAGCCTTTTGCCAGATATGTGTTTTACAAATATTGTCTCCCAGTTTGACACTTGTCTTTTCAGTCGCCTCAGAGAGTCTTGAATAGAGCAAAAACTTTTCAGAATGAATTCCCTGGAATTTCTCCTTCCCCATCTCTGTTTGGTAAAATAGGATTTTTCCTTCAAGGCTCAACCCAAACACAACTTTGAGCATATAGATATTTTTTCTTTTTTTCACACAATTGGAGGTGACCTTTTCCTCCACTGAGGTTCATTATACTTATTTTTCTCTGGAAGGCACTTGCCACAATAGCCTTATTCTGTAGTTATCTGTAAACATTCCAATTCTTCTTCCTAGTTGGAACACCTTTTAGGCACGACTATATCATATTAATCTGCATCTCCCAAGCACTCAGAAGAAAGCCTGGAATATAATAAGTGCCCAGGGATGTTAAATAAATTTATAAGGTAGTACATAAAGTTGTAAGCATGGTTTGCAATGGGCCATATCTGAATTATGTGTGAAGACTGTATGAGTGTATCTGATTGATAACCCTGTCATTGAAAACATGGAGGTGCAGAGGTGTGGTTTATGAGATGTGATTAATCTGTGTGGTATGTGCATATATGCCTTATGAACACAGGAGAAACTTCCCAGGGCTTGCTGTCTCTACACCTCAGACCAGGCTGCTTCTCTTCCATGGTACTGAATTTACCCCTTCTTTCCCCCAACCCCAGTTCCCTGCTTTCTTACCTTAAGTATATATCAGTCTCCAGTCCATGGGCTCCATGTTCAACAGCTTTCTCAAAGGACATCAGGGTATTCTCAGGCCCCAACTGTAGAAGTAAAGGACATCAGGCCCGAAGCCTCAGAGTCTCTCCTCTCAGCATTCCTTTTATGGTAGGGGTAGAGGCCAGCAGGACTTTGGGGAGAAGAGCTTGGCTCCTTCAGCTCTCCTTTCAAAACCTGTATACCCTCTCTCCAAGCTGATGCTGGGACTCTGCGCATCTGAGGCAATGTCAATGGGCTCAGTATAGAGACATGGACTGGGAGTTAGGTGGCCTGGATTCAAGTCCAACCTTTACAATGAACTCTTTACTCTTGCCATCTTAATGCAATCACTTTTCCTCTCCAGGGGTTCTCAGTTTTCTCTCCACCACATACCCTACACATACCTATTTTCACCCATGTTCATCATGCTCAGACCTACCATGGGTGCACCTCTATGTCCAAAGAAGGTTGGCTTTGGCCCCAAATTCTCCTTCTCCTGAATGCAGGGAGAATTAATCCCCAGTGGCACCAAATAGAGGCTTAAAAGGATCAGAAGAAAGGGTAATCCAACAGCCACTTGTAGACCTGAAAAATTTGGAAGGAAGGGTAAGTAGGGGAAAAAAAGATAAAGAGGGATGGAAAATCATCCCAAGCAGAGCAGCTGTCTGATAAACCCCTAGTCCGTGGGTTTCATTGACTGTGTACTGGCTAATTTACTTTCTATTTCTGTGACATTTCCATGTACTTTCAGGAATTTGGATATAAAAGTATAGAACTGTACAAATATAATGTATAATATATTGAGGCAACCTTATTGGAACTAGAAATTGACAGAGGACTCAACTGTACAGGGGACAGATGAGGAAGGAAAGGAAGGAGAAGGAATGTTAAGGAGCAGCTTCTCAGGAGGAGGAGGAGCTTCGCTGATTCTAAGAAAGCCCCAGAGCATGTAAAAATCATCCCAAAATGTTTTTATTTATTTAAGGCAGTATAGGATAGTGGAAAGGGCACTAATAGACAGAAATCTGCATTTAAAGCCGAGTTCTGCCACTTCCTAATTGTGTGACTAAGGACAACTTACTTAAGCTTTCTGAATCTTCATTTTCTTCTGTAAAATGGGGCTGTCTTGCTGCTTATGCCAACCTTACAGAGTTGTTATGACAGTGTTGACTCATAATAGTTTCTCTATAAATATTAGTGATTTGCTTCCCTCGTTCCTTCCCTCCCTCCCTATCCCCACCCCGCTCTCATGCACACACATACATTCACATACAGAGCCTGTACACAAGGCCTGTGATGACCAGCCGTTCCCCAAAATTTACTGTTTTAGACCTCTGAGAATTTTACCCATTTGTACATTTTTAAGTTACCACCTATGCTTTAGTCACTTTCAAATTTCAGTCTCCAGCTCTAACCTCTTAACCTCGTGATTACATTACATTTCTTGAGTCTTTTTTTCTCAGAATGTGTCATCCTGTATCTTCTCATTCTAACTAAAATTCAGAATGTGAAAAAGAAAAGAGTTCATTATTGTCCCCTTTAAGCCCTTGCCCCAGAAATACTTTCTAAAATTTACCTTCTACACACAAGCATATATATATCTATATAAACACACAATGGCATCACTATCTATGCAGTCATTCTCTTGCCTGCATACCCCCACAGGTCAGAAAGCAAATACCCCTTATTTAACCAAGAGTAAAAAGGAGAACCAGAGAGAAGAAGGTCCTATTGGTTTACCTATAAGAGTGGTGAAAGATAATTCCATTCTCAAAACAGTTTAGTGTACAGATCCAGTTCTTTTGATTCCATTACATTGGAACAAAGAATGAAGAGGAAACCAGTGACAGAGACAGACATTTAACCTTCTGCTGTAAGTCCTCAGGTATGACATGGTCTCACAGGGGACTGCTTTGAGTTACTTGGATGTAAGCAGAAATCTCTGACCCAGTATTAGTTGAAACTACTACTATTTGAATATAAATGGAAAGAACTGGGACTTGTACCAGCACTCTGGTCAAGACAAATTAAAATGGTCTCTACTGTGTCTCCCACCAGCTATCTTCAGAAAGTCAATGTACAATAATGTAGAGAAAGATCTTATTTTTCCAAAAGAAGAATCCCTTTTTAGAAGTTCTGTTTGGCCACAGAAATACTATGACAGGCCATGTGAGGTAGTGAGTGAGAGCACAGGAACATGCCTGAATAACAAACTAAATGAATTTCAAAGAGGCATAGGGGCAGCTAGTTCCCAAGCTTCTCTTTTCCTGAATGGAGTATGCAAGCCAAAGCCAGAGCTGAAGAGAATAGGCAAGGTTCTGCCCTATGTGACATACCTTCTCTTTCCAAATGCGCCACATAGAAGGCCACAGGCCAGGAAAGGATAACCATCACAGTTATGCTGAACAGGTGAACGTAGGGAGAAAAGATCTGTGAGAAAGCCAAAAGTCAGGCTGGGCACATTTAGATAGCTAGTGCTAGAACTATAGGATGATGCTTACCTGCAGTGACAGCCCAGCTACTTGCCACCTTTCTTTCCAGAATTTGCATATAATGAACAGTAAAATGACACACAGAAGAATCACTAGCAGAATCAGGATCTAGGGAAACAGAAAAAAGTCTCCTGACTTCAAGCACTAGGCTTGGATCAGAACTGTCCTTAGGAATTGTACGTGTGTCTTCACAATGTCAGGGACCTTATCTGCTTCCTCATTCTTTTAATCTCACCATCCTGCAAATCCCCAATATTAGATGGAACCAATCATTCACCTTCTTTGCTTCTAAGTCTTTGCTGTACAGCATGGCTGGAAAAAATTACACGGCTAATTTACCATTACTAATTTACTATCTCCAGCCTCAACTGGGTCCTCAACATTGCTTGGTATCTTTTACTCAATTTCAACAGTTGCCATTACAAATCTTCACCATTTCTTTAGACCTCAGTTGTATACTCAGTACAATTATAAGTAAATAATATTTTGTAATTGCCTTTTCAATGTGTTTTCCCCAACAGACTATCAGTTTCATGAGGTCAAGGACAATATTGGTATTGTTTATGATTACATCCTCAGTGTCCTGCAGAATGTCTGGCACATAGTAAGCAACCAATAAGTATTGGTTAAACACATGAAAAAATCTGCCTGCCAGAACACTGTATACTTCATAGACAAAGAACATTGAGGCCAAGAAGACCTAATTTTCTTAACTTTCTCCCTTTCAAATATATAGTTTTCCTACATCTGTGCTGCCCTCTAGACAGTATTTAGCTCTCTCCTTTCCATAATCTTTACATCTAAAATAACTGAATCCATAATTAAGTCTCTCATAACTCTTTGCTGACTTCAATGATAAATTCTAAAACATTTTAGGAGGAAATATTTCCAATCTTTAACAAACTCTTTCAGAGAATAGAAAAAGAGAGAATACTTTGTAACATCTTATGAAGCCAACAAAACATTATACCCAAATTTATCAAGGACATTATAAGAACAGAAAAGTATAGACCAATTTCTCTTATGTACATAGATACAAAAATGTTAAACAACCTATTAGGAAACTAAATGCATCACAACACAAAGGTTGAATTCCCAGACTCATAAGAATCTCAGATCTTACCCAACGCCAAACTTCACTATGAAATTAAAGGATACAGGCAATCACAGGGAACAGATAAAAGATTTTCCAGTGGTTGGGAGTGGCAGCTCACACCTATGATCCCAGCACTTTGGGAGGCTGAGGTAGGCAGATCACCTGAGGGCAGCAGTTCGAGACAAGCCTGGTCGAGACAGTAAAACACTGTCTCTACTAACAATACAAAAATTAGCCAGGTGTGGTGGCCTACACCTGTAGTTCCAGCTACTCAGGAGGTTGAGATGGGAGAATCACTTGAACTGAGGAGGCGGAGGTTGCAGTGAGCCGAGATGATGCCATTGCCCTCCAGCCTGGGCAAGAAAGTAAGACTATCTCAAAAAAAATAAAAATAAAAAATTTCGAGTGAATATGATCATATCAAATGGCAGCTACTCATATAGGGTCTTTCCTCTCCTGTATTAGTAAACATTCTTGTTTTAGACTTAAAATGTAAGGTATGTCTTGAGCAAATTATGAAGAAACATTGCTTCACAGGAGTCATTTTGGTTATGGAGCATCATTATTTTATATTCCATTAATTATATAACTCTAGCCAGCCATGTCTTCCATCACACAAACCTATATATTCCAGGTTTATTTGCAATAAAACCAACCTGGATATATCCAGGTATATCCTGCTCAAAATTTTTGCTGATAAGGAGTTGACATCTGGGTTCAGGCAATTCTCCTGCCTCAGCCTCCTGAGTAGCTGGGATTACCGGTACGCACCACCGTGCCCAGCTAATTTTTTTGTATTTTTAGTAGAGACGGGGTTTCACCATGTTGACCAGGATGGTCTTCATCTCTTGACCTCATGATCCACCCACTTCAGCCTCCCAAAGTGCTGGGATTACAGGCGTGAGCCACTGCTCTAGTACCTTTTCTTAATAAATCTTTTATTATTTCTTCTATATTATACCAAGAAATTACTGGCATCCCAATTTCATTGAGCATAGGCTACCAATGAGCCTAGGCTTCAGATAACCAAACAATTAGAACCTCTTTGAACTGCTTAATACCTGGATTCTAGGATATTAAATCCAGAATCTCTGGTAAGTATGCCCATATCAATAAATTTAGTCTGATCTATAATTATGTTCTCTTTTCCTTATCTAATACCCTTAGAATTCATTCCCACACATATTCTACAGGATTTTTGCCAATATTGGTTAACAGAATCTTCTTTTCTAAGCCTTCATCTTCTGAGGCATTCTGGGATCTATTCACAGAGTCTGAAGGAAATGAGAAATGCAGGGGGATTATTAAGAGTTGGCATTCCCTTGGAAGTCAACTACCTTGGTTGAGTCTTCAGGTCTTCAAACCAGGAAGGACAAGGCTTATCAGATTTGTGAGGAGAGACTGATTTTATTGGCAAGGGAGTTTTGTGGGGCTTGGAGTTTCAGTTTTATTGTACTCAAAATAGACCTCTTTTCTTTATAAATTACCCAGTCTCAGGTATTCCTTTATTAGCAATGCAGATGGACTAATTCAAGATTTAAGGGTACCACTCAAGAGTATGAAATGTTTCTGGATTTGGGGAAATACAAGCAATGGTATCAACACTATGCCTGGTATTCTCCCTCATATTTGGGAGCTAAAAAAGTTGATCTCATGGAAGCAGTTACCATGAGAATGATAGTTACCAAGGGCTGGGAAGGGTGGGTAGAGCGGAAGAAATGAAGAGCATTTGGTTAATGAGAACACACACTTAGATAGAAAGAATAAGTTCTAGTGTTTGATAGTAAAGTGACTACAGTTAGCAATAATTTATAATATAAAATAGCTCCAAAATAGTTGCAAAATAGCTAGGAGAGTTGAAGTGTTCCTAACATGAAAAAATGATAAATGCCTGAGGTGATGGATATCCTAAATACTCTGATTTGAGCATAATCTATTGTATGCATGTATCAAAATACTATATGGATCCCACAAATATGTCCAATTACTATGTATCAATATTTAAAAACCATGCCTGAAAAAGTCTAAAGAAAAGCACGAGGTTGTCACTGGAGCTGCTCAAGCCTAGGGGAGAACAAAACAAGGATGCTATATCAGAAATATGCTGCATGTCTGCAGATGATGGGGCAAAGCTGATTGTCCTCTGGGGACCGAATATGAACCTTGTGAAAGAAATCATGCTGATGTTAGCAATCCCATTACTGGGTATATATCCAAAGGACTATAAATCGTTCTACTATAAGGACACATGCACACGAATGTTCATTGCAGCACTGTTTACAATAGCAAAGACCTGGAATCAACCCAAATGCCCATCGATGACAGACTGGACAGGGAAAATGTGGCACATATACACCAAGGAATATTATGCAGCAATCAAAAACGATGAGTTCGTGTCCTTTGTAGGGACATGGATGAACCTGGACACCATCATTCTCAGCAAACTGACACAAGAAGAGAAAATGAAATACTGCATGTTCTCACTCATAGGCGGGTATTGAACAATGAGAACACATGGACACAGGGAGGGGAGCACTACACACTGGGGTCTGTTGGGGGGAATAGGGGAGGGACAGCGGGGGATGGGGAGTTGGGGAGAGATAGCATGGGGAGAAATGCCAGATATAGGTGAAGGGGAGGAAGGCAGCAAATCACACTGCCACATGTGTACCTATGCAACAATCTTGCATGTTCTTCACATGTACCCCAAAACTTAAAATGCAATTAAAAAAAGAAAAAAAAAGAAAAAGAAATCATGCTGGTGTTATTTTAAAGATAGCAAAACCCATGAGAGGGTCAAAAGGATTTCAGAAAAGAAATTTTAGGGAGCTACAGGAAGACAGGCATTGACTCCACCAAGAAAGTTACGGTCAAGGTTCTCAGCAGGATTTCCGAAAATACACATAGAAAAAGTGCAGGGGGAAAGAGACAACTGTACATTTACCTAGAAATCAACCCCTGATTCCCTTCCTCCCTTTCCTTGTGAGACTGTGCTCTTTTCTCCATCTCCTCTTCCCCTGGACCCCACTCAGCTAGAAAACAGGTAAAAGGACCACCACGCCCTCTCTACTGCTATGGGCTTCAGGCTTGGATCAGGCCCAAATAGGGGAGGGGAAACATTTTAAGGTTAATAAAGCTGGAGCTTAGGTTATTACAATGAACTGAAATTTTTAATCACTGAAATGAGAGTCTTCTTGTGGCTAAAAAGTACTGGGAAAGTAATGGGATTTGCCTAAGATTTTACTGGAATGAGAAGAACAGGGCTACAGATTGAGTTTAATATGAAGTAGTGAGACCAAATAAAGTATGGGTTCAGCTCGGGTTCAGCTCCTTCCAGAAATCAGTTGCAACAGTTAGAAATTTAATTATTTCAGTTATAATGGCGTAAGCAAATCTCTTCACTCCAAGGAGAACAATAATAGAGAGGGTAACCCTGTACATAACACTGAGTCTCAAGGAGGACGTTCAGGCCTGGTCTAAGGTTTCCTATGCAGACTCAGATGTCCTACCTTATGACACAAGTGCAGGTATAGTTCAATCCCTTCCCAAAGCAACAAAAATCCAAGTAACTGCAAAAGCAAAGTAGAAAAAGAGAGTTATTTTGAAATCACCAAGTTGCCACCCAAAGCACTGTTCCTATAGTTCCAATTTCCTTTCACAGTCTGGTATTACACTCACTTGTTGCTATACCTGTACTTTATTTAGACTCTGGGAGTTTTCCATGCTGTTTGACTGAAAAAGCTCCCTCTCTCTATGCTGTTGACTCTTCAAAGCCAGTTCAAATCTCACCTCCTATTCATAACTTTCACCTGAACCTCAGGAAGAATTCTGTGTTATCTCCTCTAAGATTTCATAACAATTACCACACTGATTCTCTTCCTGAGTTATTGCCAATTTTTTTTCCCTGTGAGGAACCTTATTCCTGTTATTACTTGGACTCACTTGTAAGAGAACAAAGGTCAGGAGGCAGCTCTTCCAAGGACTCTTGTTTTGGGGAACCAGGGCTGTTGTTACAACTGTCAACCACTGTTGTTAACACGTACAGATTCAATAAATCTTGGATTTTAATCTAAATCTAGCCAGTCACCAAGTCAGTGTGAAGATGGAAACTGAAAACTGGAGCCCTCAGATACCTAGTATATTAATGATAATTTGATGTATAAGGCATTTACCTCTTTATCAAAATAATTTCATGTAGATTTCATATGTTCTTTACTTAGCCCTATATTATACCAGTTTATTAAATATTATTATCATTCTCATTTGAAAAAAATAAAACTGAGGTCAGAAGAGTTACATGACTTGGCTAAGGTTAAATAGTAATCTAAAGATAGAGCTAGAAATAGAATCCAGGTGTCCCTCCTTTTTCACTATTGTTGCCATTGTATGTATCCAAAAAGAGGTAGGGTAGAGTAGAAAGTTTGTTAAAATATGTTGCTTTATTGGACACTAGAATTCATTCCAAACTTAGAACCCTACTATACCATTTCATGTTTATTGTGCATAAAATGGTGCAATTCATTGGTCAGAGTTTGGCCTAGAGCACATCCTTCACCTGCATTTTCCTCATTAAAAAGAAAAGTTTCTACCTGGTCTCTCTGCCTATAGCCACCCTCCAAACTACAATATCGAGAATAATTTTCCTAAGAAAACTGATTTATATCAAATGTCTTAGCCTTTTTTTCCAGGCCTTCTAAAATCTCACGAAACTATCTTTTCATCCATGTTTTCCCATTATTCTTCATTATGCCCTGCATACTAACAGAACTGACCTGTCCCTCTCAGCAAGACATCCTATAGTTTCTGTCTTGCTGATAGAGTCATGAAGCTCCCTCAGCCCAAAATATTCTTCCTCATTATCATATCTATATGTCCAAATCTAACATCCCTTCAAGATCCCACTCCAGTGACAAGGAATGTAACTTATATCTCACACCTACCTCTATGAAGTGCAGTGCATGTAAACAGAAACTGCTTAGTTTTTATTGATCTCTCTATGCTCAGCACTTCTCACAATGATCTGCTCATATAATAATAAGTTTTGTTGAAAGAAAAAGTTCATGCAAATAGCAATAGATCTGGGGGCTAGGTTCTTCTGTATCAGACAAGAATTCCATAGAGAAAGGAATGGTGAAATCAGAGAAAGTTATCTACCCTATGTATAAATGGGCACTGCAAAACTCTAACTGTCTATAGTTATCACTCCATTTCCACAGACTTTTCTCTTACCTGGCATAAATTTCTCACACTTTATGACACTATTATATCAGGCAACAAAAGCAAGGTCACACTATTGCCAAAAGGCTTTTGCTAAAATGTACTTTGCATCTGGGCTAGGTGACCAGAATTTGTTCATTAGAACAAGTTTAACAAACGAGCAAATTTTTATAAGGCCCAGAAAGACTGATTTTCAGAAGATGGGACATGAGACAAGTAAAGATACTGCTGATGTAAAGCTATGGGCATCTCAAGTGACAATACTGAGGGAACCATAGGATAGGCTATGAAATATGAAAACAGAAAAAGGACGTTCTGTTACTCTTTCAAAGGGCCAAATTGGCATGACACATCCTCTAATAGAATAGGCTTTCCTTCCATATCCTATTCCTTGTGACTAAAATTCAACTAGCTAATGTAAACCCCAATTCTAAGACAAGAGTGATCTTAGGTTCCAAAAGCCCCAGCACCAACTGGATACTATACCACGGGCAGGAGCACCTCCTGAGGCTACTCAGGAAGGAAGTGGGAGAAATGAGAAGCATTACTCACCAACAGCAATGAAGAGTAGGCAGTCAGGATCCCAGCTAAACTCAAAACAAAAATAGACCAGAAAAACCAGTAGCCTGTTCCTAGAAAAGTGACCCTGAAAAAAAAATATATTTCAGTTCTTAAAATACCACAGAAATCAGTAGCATCTGTGTTAAGGATGGAACAAAACCAGACTAGATGAGGCATAAGAAAATGGAGAGATAAAAAGAGAAGCAGTTTGTGAACAGCAGCTTTGGGGGATACTTATTTGAGGAGTTTTAAAGTTGTGTCCTGTAGGCAATTGAGAATGTTCATGGGGTCTGTAAACACAGTAGCATTTTAAGTTATTTAGAATACATATTTAAAAATTATGTTATCTTTTAAAAAATAATATAATACAAAAATTTTGGAATACCAACAGAAAAACAAATCATCCCATTAAGTTGACTGCCTTAACAAAACTAATACTTTACACTGTTGCAGGCTCCTTGTCCATGCGCCTATGCATTTTTGGACATAATTGTAAACACAGTCACCATATTAATTGCTCTATTCCGTGTAAGAGATATAGGCCCTTTAAAAAAAGCCCAATTTTTCTGTTCCTAAAGTAGCATATGAGACAAAATTGCTAATGATTTGTTAGGAGAAACACTTTTATACTTGGTCTAGGTATTACACAGCAAAGAAATTCAAATCTTCATCTCAAGAAGACAGAAATTACCTCCTCTCCATACAAAACCTGGAGAAATTTTATTTTTTAAGATGTAAACTATAGGTTAGTGAAAATATAATAGGAATTAGAAAGGAAATTCTTGCCTGGTGCGGTGGCTGAAGCCTGTAATCCCAGCACTTTGGGAGGCTGAGGCGGGTGGATCACAAGGTCAAGAGATCGAGACCATCCTGGTCAACATGGTGAAACCCCGTCTCTACTAAAAATACAAAAATTAGCTGGGCATGGTGGTGCGTGCCTGTAATCCCAGCTACTCAGGAGGCTGAGGCAGGAGAATTGCCTGAACCCAGGAGGCGGAGATTGTGGTGAGCCAAGATCACGCCATTGCACTCCAGCCTGGGTAACAAGAGCGAAACGCCATCTCAAAATAAATAAATAAATACATAAATAAATAGAAAGGAAATCTCCTTGCACAAGGACTGTTAGATATGCTAAGAAGAAGTAAACATGCAGACAGCCTTGCTAGCAAAAGGTATCCCAGTTCAAGACACTGGGAAAAGTACTCTGTAGAAGATGAGCTAACAATCAAGAATCAGAAAACATGTAAGGGATGTCAACAAATGAACCACATGAAGCCAACAAATAGAAAAACTTGGACCCAAGAAAACATAATTAATAGAACAATCAGAAAAAAATCCATGAAATAAAAAAATAAATAAATAAAAATATATTTAAGATCTTCCATGATGTAAAGGAAAGATTCACACCCATGAAACAAGAATAGGCTGTTTTAAGCCAAGCATAGGTGGTTATCAAAACAATCAAACAGAGATTTTGAAAAAATTTTTTTGAAATAAAAAAACATGAAATTTGTTCTTAATAGCACTCTAGATGTAGCCAAAGAATTAATCAGTTTAACCAACTCATAATATGGACTTTGCTTTCCATGTAATAAGGAAAACTTAAGGTTTGTCATTTCATGGTACTCTTACTTCTTCTGATAATTTTACTGGCCATATTGATATTTTACTTTAATCCCTTTCAACCTAAAAGGTTTTCTTTTGGATATCCGATCATATATAAGTATTACTATTAGTTTGGTTTACTTCAATGCCCTCTCACCAAACTCAGGTGAAGTTCTCACCCCTCAGCTATGGATTATAGGCAAAAGAAGAACTGGTTTTTCTCTCTCCCTCTTTTACTCCTTCCTATCCCAGTCATCTATACTTACTCTTGGTAGTGGTAATGGTGTGAAAAGGAGTTTGCTTATGTGACTGCTTGAACATCAGTGGGAATTGAAAAAGGAAACCTTTCTTGGTCATCACTTCTTTAAGCTGGGAATATACAATGCTGATGACTATGCAGTAGGCTCACTCAACATGAACATGTCCAATTTAGGCTTCTTCTAACTTAGTATTTTTAAGCAGTTTCCTCTCTGCTCTGGACCATTGTGTTATATCCCTCTAGCAGCATAATCACATCTCCATTTTGGATGTAGGCCTACTCACTCAACCAAGACAGATTTAATGGGGCGGCCTAGTCAATGCAACCTACTCATCTAAAAGTTTCTGTCACAATGCTTAAAGAAGCCTTCAAGGACTCCTTCCCTGCCTTCTCACAGATGTAAGATGCAACTTTCTTGCACCTTTCCGTAATATATATTGCAATGTTTTACATCAGCATCACCAACTGTCAGCTGACAGTAACTGTAGATGAGAAGAAAAGACACATGGATGGTGGAAGCCTTAGGAACTCTCACATAGTGAGGAATAGAGAGACAACACACAGAGGGGAAAAGAGGGAAGTTACAATTACCCTACCAGAAAATTCTGCTCTCTCTGGCTAAGGGGAACAACTAGAAAAGCTAGACAAAATGTTTCGAAAAATCTAAATGATGGCATCAGACATCTACCAGACAGTAAAGAACTATGAAGCCAAGATCCAAAAAAGGAAGGAAATCCAGAGACAGTGTGGCCTTTGGGGTAATTTTTCTCTAGAAGAATTGGCTGAGGTACAGGAAGCTCTCATAAACTTCATAGGGCTACAGGTGAGAAGGTAATCTTATAAACGCAATACACTTAGATTTGGAACCTTCCAGGGTTACCTCCTAAAAGTAAGCACAAACTTTTTCAGTTTGTGATTTGTGGGGGAATGAATTCTAGCTTTGAAGCATCTAAATGTGTGAACAGACATTATTAGTCTGCTCCCCCTAGGCACTGGCTTGATGGCGTACGCAGCTCAGGCCTCTCCTCTTCCTAACAAAGTCACCTTCTATGGGACACCTAGGGGTTATTTGTTATTCAGAGAAAAAAAACATTCTAGATGAAAGATCAGAGGTGCATGATGAAGTGAAGAGCAATAAAAAAAAGTAAATATGTAGGTTAATCTAAATGAATATTAACTATACAAAACAATAACATCATATGTGGTTAGAAAATTATGTAGGATTAAAATACATGATGAGAATGGCTTATAAGTCAGAAGGAGGTAAATGAAGTTAAGGTGTTTCAAGATCCTTGTATTGTCCAGAAAAAATGCTAAAATCTAATTAATATAAAACTTTGGTGAGTCAAGATTACATGTTGTAATTTCCGGAGTAGTTACAAAAAAGCAAGAGTGAGTAGGAAAGAAAATACGGATATATCCTCTAAGTTGAAAGAGAAAAAAAAGAAGTAATAAAAAAATACTTAATATAAAATAAGGCAAGAAAAGAGGAGAAAGAAAAAAAAAACAGGGCTGGGTTTGGTGGCTCACACCTGTAATCCCAGCAATTTGGGAGGTCGAGGCAGGCAAATCACTTGAGCTCAGGAGTTTGAGACCAGCCCAGGCAACATGGAAAACCCTGTCTTCACAAAAAATACAAAACTCAGCTGGGTGTGGTGGCTTTCACCTGTAGTCCTAACTACCTGGGAGGCTGAAGTAGAAGGATCGCTTGAGTTTGGGAGGCAGAGGCTGCAATGAGTCAAAATCACACTACTGTACTCAGCTTGGGCAACAGAGCAAGACCTTGCCTTGAAAAAAAAAAGAAAAAAAACCACAAAACTGATATGACAATAGCATCAGAAAGATTATGGATGTAAGCTGAAATAAAATATATTAGTGATTATATTAATTCAGAGATTTTTTTAAAATTTGGAACATAAAGTATTGCCAAACTGAATTTGAGAAACTCGACCATATGCTATTTATAAGCGAAACTTCCAAAACATGAGCTATAGAAACGTTAAAGAAAAAGGATGGAAAAGATAAACCATGCAAAGCTAGTATAGCTATATTAGTTATTATACAAAATAGTCTTCAAGTTAAAAATGTATGAAGAAAATGAAAGACTATCCTGCAACTTTGCACTAGGATCGAAGACTTCATTGGTACTCAGACTTGTGACTGACTTACATGCTACATCCTGGCAGAAGAGGATCACAAATGGGAAATGGCTGCAAGAAAGATCATGGAAGCTGGCCAGTTGGCATCTCAGTCTTGGGAACAATGGTGAGGGTTCCAAGCCATGCTTGTGGCCAATGTAAAAGCCTGTTGTGAGGAATATTTCTGTAGAATGCCTGGAAGAGCAATTCCAAAAAGTGCTCGTCTGAGGCATTGTGTAATGGAAGTAATAATGAACAGAGTGACCGGTGTCATTTTGATGACCAGAGTTTCCTCTTACCACTACCACACTATTTTTGCTGTCTTGTGGTAAGCCCCAGGTCTTTGATACCACTCAAGTGGTGGGGAGAGAGGCAGAAAGATTTGGATATTAGACTTTGCATAAACCTTGTCAACTATGGATCTCAGAGCTGGTATTTTAAAATTTATATGTAAAGAAATGAATTATCTAATATTATTTATATTTTAAACTGAAATACAAGTTCTGTGGAATAATTCAGAAACTGGCCCATAAATAAAATTGCAGATGAACCAATGAGAAGGCTAACTGATAACTCCCAATGGATAAGTAGGCAGAGGAAAATAAATTTTAAAAGAAATTAGTTAAATAAACTTGTTCTGAAACTAAATTATTCAAATTAAAACAAAAAAATTTCATCATGAAAAAACTTTCACAATATTAGGATATTTAATGCTGACTGTCATATAGCTCTGTTTTAAACAGAAATTGCTATAACATTTTGAGAAAGTACTTTGGCAATAGGCATAATGAATTTCTTTTTTTTTTTTTTTTTTGAGACAGGGTCTGGCTCTGTCACCCAGGCTGGAGTGGAGTGCAGAGGGACTCTTGGGCCCAAGAGATCCTCCCACCTCAGCCTCCCAAGTAGCTGGGACTACAGGCACACACCACCATGCCTGGCTAATTTTGGGGCATAATGAATTTTAACAATGTTCATTCTTCTTGACTCAATAATGCCCCTTGTGGGAATCTATTCTAGAATCATTAGTCAGAATACAAAGATTTCTCTGCATTACTAGTTTATAAAAACAAGAAAACTGGACACACTTATAATGCCTAATAATTAAATGGCTAAGTGTATTATAGCATCTGTCATGAAATATTTTTAAACCATTTAAATGATATTCATTAGGAGCTTTAAAATGTTGTTAAAATGCTTACAGTTATTTTAAGTAAAAATTAAAAGTAAAATTATGTATACAATATGAGCATAATATAAAAATAAACATAGAAAAATATACCAAGTGATTATCTCTCAAGAATGAGAATAAACATATGCCATATTTTCTAACATTTTGTATTTTACACATAAAATAACAAACCATGTTTTACTTTTATAAAGGAGAATATAACTGTATTCAATTTTTAAAAGCCCCATATCTGAACAAGATTCTTTCCCCCAAATACCAAATAACAAGATTTGCAGGAAGGTTAGAATACATCAAGCCAGAAAAACTAAAAGGGTGGGACAGTCCCAGGGTAGGAGTTTAGCCATGAAAGGGTGCTGGGAAGGGAAACCTGTCACTGTGTTCAGAATTCTAGGAAGCCGCTTAAGAACGGTATGGGAAGGAAGAGGGTATAGAAGCAGCAGAGAAGGCAGGGTTCAGAGGCAGAGATCATGAAGACCAACTAGTGTAGGTATCAGTAACTCAGACAAAGAGAATAAAGAAGAGATATCGGGCAAACATTATCTGAGTAGGATTGTGGACACTGGAAGCATGAAGCTTCCCACTGAGCCATGTTTGGTCTAAGTGTGAGACTGAGCACAGTCAAAGAAAGTACAACAGGTTAGGGTGCTAAGCATCCTACCCCAGCCCCAAAGGCAGGTCTCTCACCCACAAGCTGAGGAAAGCCCAGTTTTGTCTGCCTTCCCTACTATGTCACCAGATCTTTTCAACCTGAGGCAGAATCCAGGTAGCTATCAGACCAAAATGCCCTTATACAAATGAAAGTACAAAAAATGAAACTCACCAGTCAAAGTTAAAGTATTCATTGGATGTTTCTATCCACAGGAACAGCAACATCACAGACAAGACAAATGAAATTATCAGGCATGGGCAAAATAATTGCTCTTTCTAGGAAGAGAAAAAAGAAATCTAACTTAGCTCCATTTATCCTTGTTACCTCAGCAGTTTCTATATACACTTGCCAAAGGTCATCATAGTTGCAACTGCCATGTATTACCCTCCTGAGGCTGGAGTGATCACTCTCTTCTTTTTACCCCTTCCAAATCCTGTATATACCTATCTATAATCTTTCTTACACTGAACTGGAATTACACATTTATATGTTTTATCTGATGCTACACTGCTTCCTCTTTGAGGAAAAGGAACATCTCTGCATTACCAATACATAGCATAGTTTCTTGAATGTAGTTAGCTCTAGACAATCATCCGCTAAATTCATCTGCCTTTCCAGTTACTATGTTTTGTTTAGTAATTAATTTATTGAGTAATTAATTCATTCATCATTAATCAGTTCATTTAGTCATCAATCTACACCACTGGAGAAGAAAAGAGAAATCAGAGTTAAAGAATGAATTTTTTTTAAGTACCTATTTGTTCCAGTAAAATGCTAGGGATTTTACAAGCTACCTTCATTTGATTTATTTCTCATTAGAGCCATATGAGTTAGGCATTAACTTTTTGCAGAAGAAAGCTCAGAGAGGTAAAATAATTGATTCAAGATCACACAGCTAAGAAGTGGCAGCGGCAGGACTAGAACCCAGATCTGTGCAAGCTCAAAGCCAAAATGGAGGTTATCATTATGGAGGAGGTACTGCTTTCTCTTTGAAGGCAAAGATGTCTCCCTGAATTAGTTTTGTCCCTTCCAATAATACGTCCTCCACACAATCAAATAATCATTCCAAAACACAGCTCAGACTACATCACCAACTTAAAGTCTTTGGGGATTCTTTATTCCCCACATGGCAGAAGTCAAATTCTCAAAACCACATGACACTGGATCCATCTCCCTCTCTAGCTTCTTTTCCCCTCACTTCTTCATTCATATCCTCTCCTTCATCTAAAATAAACCTTATACCAATCTCCAAACTCGTTATGCCCTTTGGTTCCTCCTCCAATGCCAATTCTTCCACTATCCCCAATTCTCTACCTATCCAATTCTTAATCACCCGTCACCTTTTAAAAGATTGATCTTTGGCCCTCCCCTTGGTACCTGCCTGTGCACATGCACATACAGTTATAGCACTTCTCTTACTATATAGAGATTGTGTGTATGTACTTATCTTTCCCCACAGGAGACTGAGTTCCTTGAGAGCTGGAACCATGCCTGAAGCACTCGTATTATCTCCAGCGACTAGCATAGAGACCAAATATCTGGGCAGGAAAGATATAGGGGACAGAAGAACATTCCTGCCTACTCCAGGGAAACCTCCCATTTCCTACCCCTTTCCTTGTATTCCCCACCTCAGGTATAAGAAATTCATGATTTAATTGGTCTGATTCTAGGACCCTAGCTGGACCACGTTTACAAATAAGTAAAGGTACATGATTTCACTCTTCTTTTCTCATTTCAGTGTGCTGATCATTTAATCTCTTATACCACATAGCTCACCAAAGGGTCCCAACATATGGCTTACAAACAGAAAGATGCCCTAAAAGAATCTAGGCCACATGCCACCACTCAGCCTTACTAGAGCTCTTCCTTTGGGAAAATCAGGCACTAGCTTGACCAATAATAAAGGAGCACCTTGTTGCCCACTTGCTGTTTTTTTCTCCTGAGAAGAGAAATTCATAGAGGAGAGCAAATTACAATTAAGGCATCCCTGTAATTCCTAGACAAAATATCTAATTGTACCCAACCTCACTTTTTCTTCAAGATTTACTGAATGAATAAATGCAAAAGGGAATTAATGAATAAATGAATGACAGAGAGATAGTAAGGAAAAGTGAAGAATAAAAGTGAAAGAAAATGAAGAAAGCAAGTACGTGTTTTAGTAAGTCTAACATTGGTGCAGTACTTTTATGGAAGAAATGAAGCCCTAGCATCCCCAGTCCTGGAGACTGTAAAGAGCCCCCATGGGGCCAGGGGCCAGCCTATGCTCCCCACGCCTGTGAAAATGTGGTCCAGCTCCTTATCAGTCCGTACCCAACTGCAGCAACAAAATCCAACTTTAGTTTTTTCCCATTGTGTGAATTTCCAGAGGCAACTATAGCAGCCAGTAAGGAAGGTGACATAGCGTTGGTGGCAGGAGATGTGTGAAATCCATGGATTAAGCTTTTTTGGTTTTCCTGTCTTGTTCCTCTTGGGCTCAATCCTGTTGACCTTCTTAAACATGATTCAACCCTTTGGCTGGAAAGACAAATAAAATAATCAGGATCTACTGTAGCTCCCCTTAATGTACCTTATCCCACCATTCTACAGAAAATTTTATCAATGATAGATGAATTTTTAAAAAACTGTTTATAATAAAGGATAACATATTGGATTTGGGGCAGAAGAATAGAGCTTCATCCTACCGTTCCCACTAACTTGTTGACTGTTTATTGTGATCATTGTACCATTATAGGTTTACTTTTCTCACCTCTAAAATGGGAGGTCCTCATCAACTAGTAGATGCTGAAAGAATCAAATTAGATAATACATACAAATGTGCTTTGTAAATTGCAACATGCTGTTGAAATAACTTGAGAAAGTAAAGGCCCAAGTGAGGTATATGAAAATACAAACCTTGACTAATAAGTGACTCAGACACACAGCTGGCTGCTTCTTCCCTTTCTTTCCTCTCCCATATGTAATCAGTTAGGGTTAGCTTCAGTTCGGAATAATGAAACCTTCAAAACAACAATGACTGAAATATGATATTTATTTTTCCTTTGCCAACAAAAAATATTTCAGAGATAGAAAGAGCAAAATAAATAGCATGTGGCTTCACAATGGCATTAAGAACACAGGCACCCACCACAACCTGCACCTGTGTACATCATTAAGGGGCCTGCAGGCAAGTCAACATCACCTGGTACCACTGTGACCACCAATGGCTACCCACATGTGCCATCTGGGTACCTATATACTGACCCACCATCCTATTGCTGTCACTGCTAGCACCAGTGCATGCCACCTGGGAAATCTATTGGCATCACTGACACCACATATGCTCCCCAGGGCTCCAAGGTCCCACCCACCTGCCAAGCACACTGCTGGCACTGTCAGTACTCAAGCAAGCCACCTAGAGACCTAAAAATTGGCCCGCCTATACCTGCTAACACCACTGCCTATGTACACTGGTCAGGGACCTAAGGACAGGAATACTCGGCCTGCTACCACCACCACTGGGGCCTGAGGATTGACCTGCCTGATATCCCCATTGCCAGCAAAGCCTCACCACAGCCTCAGTTAACAACCACAGCCTAAACCACTAACAAAATCACAGACACCAAGGATACTGATTACAGCCAAAGAAATGCCAGGGAGACTATACTACTACATGAACCCAGAGTCAAAGCTAAAATGCTCTACTCAACCAACACTATAGATAAATCTACAGAAAAAAAAATCTTCCCCTATGAAAGCCAATCCAAAAAATTAGAAAAAGCAGCTGTTACAGCAGATATGCAGATACCAACATGAAAGGACACAAGAAACATGAAAAAGCAAGGAATTATGACAACTTAGAGTAACAATAATTCTCCAGCAAGAGATTCCAATGTAAAAGAAAAGTGTGAAATGCCTACAAATAATTTAAAATAACAATTTAAATATACTCAGTGAGATACAAGAGAATACTGGTAAATAATAAAAAGAATTCAGAAAAACAATTGAGAAATCAAATGAGATAATTCAATAAGGAGATATTATTTCAGAACCTGAGGGCAAGTCATTTGAAATAATCCAGTAAGGTGAAAGAAACAGAGAAAGAAAAGGAAAGTAGATGGGAGGGGAGGAGAGGGGAGGGGAGAGGGGAAGGAAAAGGACAGGGGAAAGAGAGGGAAAAGGAGGGGGGAAATGAGAGGAGAAAGGAAAACGGAAAGGGAAAGGGAAGGGGAAGGGGAAGGAGGAGGGAAGGGGAAGGGGAAGGGAAGGGGAGAAAGAAAAGAAAAAGAAAAGGAAGGGAGGGAGGGAGGAAGGGAGGGAGGGAGGGAGGAAGGAAGGAAGGAAGGAAGGAAGGAAGGAAGGAAGGAAGGAAGGAAGGAAGGAAGGAAGGAAGGAAGGAAGCCAGCCAGCTAGCCAGGCAGGCATGCATGCATGATGGCTCACACCCAGAACTTTGGGAGGGGGAGGTGAGAGGATCATTTGAGGTCAGGAGTTTGAGACCAGCGTGGCCAACATGGTAAAACCCTGTCTCTACCAAAAATACAAAAATTAGCTGGGGGTGGTAGTGCATGTCTGTAATCCCAAGTACTTGGGAGACTGAGGCAGGATAATCACTTGAACCTAGAACGTGAATGTTGCTGTGAACTGAGATCGCATCACTGCAATCCAGCCTGGGCAAAGGGTGAGACTCTATCTCAAGAGAGGGAAGAGAAAGGGGAAGGGGAAGGGGAAGGAAAAGGGGAGGGAAAAAGGAGGGAGGGAGGGAGGGAGGGAGGGAGGGAGGGAGGAAGGAAGGAAGGAAGGAAGGAAGGAAGACTGGCCAGTGGGCCACAGTGGATCACACCTGTAATCCCAACACTTTGGGAAGGCAAGGTGGGTGGATCATTTGAGGTCAGGAGTTCAAGACCAGCCTGGCCAACATGGCAAAACCCCGTCTCTACTAAAAATACAAAAGTTAGCCAGGCGTGGTCGTGCACATCTGTAATCCCAGGTACCTGGAAGGCTGAGGCAGGAGAATCACTTCAACCTGAAAGGCAGAGGTTGCAGTGAGCCAAGATCATGCCATTGCATTCCAGCCTGGGTGACAGAGCAAGACTCCATCTCAGAAACGAAAGAAAAAAGGCAGGCAGGCAAGGAGGGTGGGATGGAGAGAGGGAAGGGAAAGAGAGGGAGGGAGGGAGGAAGGGAGGGAAGAAAGGAGAAAGAGAAAGGAAAGAAGGGATGGAGGGAGGGAGGGAGGGAGGGAGGGAGGGAGGGAGGGAGGGAGGGAGGGAAAGGAATAAAGAAACCCTACATGACATTTTGAAAACTATAAAGTGACCAAGTACTCAAATTTTGGATGTTCCAGAAGAAGAGGTGGAGAAAAGCCTAGAAAACTTATTTAATAAAATAATCACCAAAAATTTCCCAAGTTTTGCAAGGGATTCAGACATCCAGATAGTGGAAGCTAAAGATCCCCAAACAGATTCAACCCAGAAAGGTCTTCTCCAAGGCACTTTATAGTCAAACTCCCAAAAGTCAAAGACAGAGAATTCCAAAAACAACAAGAGAAAAGCATCAAGTCACATATAAGGGAACCCAGTTAGACTAACAGTGGATTCCTCAGTAGAAATCTTACACTCTAGGAGAGGATGGGATGAAAGAAAAACTTTTCAATGTGCTGAAAGAAAACAAAGACCAAATGGACCTAGCAGATATATACAGAACATTTTATCCAGCAATTACAGAATACACATTCTTCCCATCAGCACATAAAACATTCCCGAGGATAGGCTACATGTTAGGCCATAAAACAAGTCTGAACAAATTTGTAAAGATTTGAATCACATTAAGTATCTTTTCTGATCACAATGGGAAAAAAATAGAAATCAATAATGAGAAATTTTCAAAACTGTAAAAAAACATGGAAATTATTTTAGCAATATGCTCCTGATTGACAATTGGTCAACAAAGAAATTCAGAAGAAAAACAAAAATAAGTCTTGAAACAAATGAAATGAAAACACATGTACTAAAACCTATGGGATACAGTAAAAGCAATGCTGAGATGGAAATTTATAGCAATAAAAATCTACATCAAAAAGTATAAAGATTTCAAATAAATAATTATGTACCTCAAAGAACCAGAAAAGCAAAAACAAACCAAACCCAAAATTAGTAGAAGGAAAGAAATAATAAATATGAGAGCAGAACTAAATGAAATAGAAACTAAAAAACAATATAAAGAATTCAATGAAAAAAAGTTGGTTTTCTGAAAAGATAAATGAAACTGATAAACCACTAAAAGACCCCCCAAAAAACAAAATCAGAAATTAAAAAGGAGACCTCTACAGTGAAAATTACAAAACACTGATGAAAGAAACTGAAGAGGACACAGACAAATGAAAACATCCCATACTCATGGATTGGTAGCACTAATATTGTGAAAATGACCATACTACAGAAAGCAATCTACAGATGTTATGCAATCCATATCAAAACAATCATAACATCCTTGACAGAAATAGGAGAAACAGTCACAAATTCATATGGAACCACAAAAGACTCTGAATAGCAAAAGCAATCCAGATCAAAATGGACAAAGGTGGAGGTATCACAGCACCTGATTTCAAAATATACTATAAAGCTATAGTAACCAAAACAGCATGGTCTTGGCATAAAAATAGACACATAGACCAATGAAAAAGAATAGAGAACCCACAAATAAATCCATGTATTTATAGTCAATTGATTTTTAACAATGGCACCAAGAACACACATTGGAGAAAGGACACCTTCTTCAATAAATGAGGCTAGGAAATGATATTCATATGCAGAATAATAAAACTAGAACCCTATCTCTCACCATATACAAAAGAAACCAACACAAAATGGATTAAAGACTTAAATGTAAGACCTGAAACTATAAAACCACTAGAAGAAAACACAGGAGAAAGGCCCTAAGACATTGGTATAGGAAAATATTTTATAGCTAGGATTTCAAAAGCACAAGCAACAAAAACAAAAATAGATAAATGGGACTATTGTAAACTACAATGTTTCTGCACAGCAAATGAAACAACAAACAGAATAAAGAGACAAACTGCTGAATGAAACAAAATATTGGCAAACTATTCATCCAACAAGGGAAACATATCCAGAATATACAAGAAATTCAAATAATGCAACACCAAAAAAAAAAAAAAAAAAAAAATCCATCAGAAAGTAAGCCAAAAACCTAAAGAGACACTTCTCATTAGAAGACATACAAATAGCCAACAGATATATGAAAAAATGTTCAATATCACTAATAATTAGGGAAATGCAAATCAAAACCACAATGAGATATTATCTTACCCCTGTTAGAAGGGCTGTTATCAAAAAGATAAAAAAATAAAGAAGCTGGCAAAGATAGAGGGCTTACACACTCTAATTTATGTTCCCACCAACATAAATTAGTATAGCCTATAAAAACAATATGAAGATTTCTCAAAAAACTAAAATATCGTAGTAACCATATGATCCAGCAATTCCACCATTTGGTAGTTATCCAAAGAAAGGAAATCAGTATATCAAAATGATACCTGCACCCCCATGTTTACTGCAGGACTATTCACAATTGCAAAGATAGAGAACCACCCCTAAGTGTCCATCAATGGACAAGCAGATAAAATGAGCCTATATATGCAACGCAATACTATTCAGCCATAAAAAGAAAATGAAATCCTGTCATTTGAAGCAGTATAGACGGTACTGGTGGTCATTATGTTCAGTGAAATAAGTCAGGCACAAAAAGACAAATATTGTATATTCTCACTCACGTGGGAGCTTAAAAAATTGATCTCATGGAGGTAGAGAATAGAATGATAATTACCAGAGTCTGGGAAGGACATGGAAATGGGGGGGGGGGGGGGATGAAGAAAGGTAGGTTAATAAATACAATAGGTACAAACATACAGTTAGAGAGGAGTAAGTTCTAGTGTTTGATAGCATAGTGGGGTGACTATAGATAACAATATATTGTATACTTTAAAATAGCTAGA